CCCCATCCACAGGCCCAGCTCTGCAGACAAGCAGCGGTGGCGGTACGAGGTGGTGGCGGCTGCTGTGTGCAAAACCCCTCTGCCCCTGCTAGCTGGCCAGGTGGCACGCAGTAGTCACCACCACCATCCCGCGCTGCTGCTGCCGCTTGTCTAAGGAGCCGTGCCCACAGACCGGGGGGGGATAGCTCCATGGGCATGGCTCTGCGGTGTCAGCGGCAGTGCAGGGAGGTTTCACATGCAGCGGCCACCACTGTGGACATGGCTCCACAGGCAAGTGGCAGAGGTGGCTGCTGCTGCTTGTGAGCCCCCCTCCGACCCCCAAAGCCACCATCCCTTGCCACCACTGTGGAGCCATGTCCATGGAGTCATGTAGCCAGCTGCAGGGCAGCAGTGGCAGTGCAGTGGTGGGCGCCACATGCAAACTCCCTACCCCCGTCCCCTGGCCAGCTGGCCAGGCGACGTATGTGAGGCCTACATGCAGTGGCCACCACCACACCGCGCCCCACGCTGCTTGCCCACAAAGCTGTGTGGCCAGCCATGAGAAGGCAGCCTGGGGCATGGCAGCGGCAGCCTCCATATGCAAACCCCACGTGAGGCCACCTGGTATGTGTGTGGCCTGCAGAGGGGCACCCCTACCCTCACCCCCCGGCCCTGCTCCTGGGAGTGGGCTGAGGTGTGGGGCAGGGAAGCACTGTGGTGTGTTGTCTCAGGCTTGCAGTGCCCCCTGCTCCCTCATTCCCCAGCCACTTTCCCCAGCCCTGACCCACAGCCCCCAAGTCCCACTTACCTCCAGGCTCCAGGGGTGAAGGACGAAAGGCAAGCCTGAGCCTGAGCCCAGCTGTGGCTGACTCAGAGGCTCAGGCCCCGCCTTTCCCCCTCTCCCTCCTCCTCCGGGCAGGGCTGGGGGTTTCCTGCCCTTTCTGAAATCATCTCTTGCAGGCTGGAACTCTGCCGGCCTGCAAGATCTCTTTGCAAAAGCAGAGAATCCACAGATTTCTCTGCCAAAAGGGGAAATCCGCGTTTTCTCCAATAAAAACAGGGAATCCATGGTTTTCTCTGTCTTTCTGTGGGAAACAGAAAACCCAGATCCTTGCTTATCACCTATGATTAGGAGTGAGAGGGAACAGAATGGCATGTTCTGACAACAGGCCAATTCGCATAATAAACTTAGCCCGCTGGCATAAGTTACAGCAGCCCTAAACTTATGCTTAAGCAAATACTAAATGACTGCTCAGTAACCAGTGTTACTGTGCAGTCCTGATACTGCAAGGTTATTTTTAGCTGCTACTATGCAGTAGCAATGAGCTACTGTGCAGTAGCATGGGCGTCATGGTTCATGCCTGTCAACACTACCTTGCTGCAGCAACGAGCTACAGTACCATAGCTCATTGCTATGGGAATGTAGTGTCTCATTTATATGCACTCATTTTGTCATAGTTTCATAGAGATTAAGTCCAGAAGGAACAATCAATTCATCTAGTCTGAATTTCTATACAGGATAGACCATTAGATTTCACATAAATACCTTATACCACCCCTAAAGACTTTATATTAGATCAAATATTTTGGTCCTGAACCTGAAAAGTATGCCATATGCAGAAAACAGCCAAGACCAAGGAGTCACCCATGCCTGAGGCCCCTATTGTGGAAGAAATAATTAACTGATATGATCTGAGCAGGTAAACCAAGGCCCATGGTATAGAGGAAAAAATAAAGCTCCCTCCACATCCTGCCAGTCTCACCAGTTGGAAGCTGCATCCTGATTTCAAATCTTGCAAACAGTGGGCACATCTACACATGCAATTAATGCTGTAAAGGCTTACTCTGCAGTAAAATACTGCATAATGAGCCTTACTGTGCAGTAAAATACTGTGCAGTGAGCCTTTCCAGCGAGCACATGTACACATGCTCCCTGTTGGGAGCAAATGTGCTCCCATCGTGAGCAACCCTATACACGGCTGCTCCAAACCTGCTCTGGCCCCCTGCAACAACCAGGGGGAACTCCCCCTGAGTGCTAGCCCAGGGGCTGGCAGAGAGCACAGGGCCAGGAGAGCAACTGCATGGGGCCAAGAGAGCTTTGCTGGCTGCAGCAGCAGTTGTCTCCTGGCCACGTGTATATCAGGAGGGGTCCTGATATGCAGGGGGCTGAGACAGCAGCTGCTGCAGATCTCTCTTGGCACCCTGCACATGGAGACAAGCCCAGTGACCAGTGCGGTTTCTCCACCCAGCCTGGATCTGGCCGGGAACGGTCTCATTCTGGGGCAGGTCCCAGTCAGCTTCAGGCTGTCCAGGGCTTTCCCCAGAAGGGACAGTTCCTGGACAGCTCCAGGCTGCTTGGGGAACTCTTGCATAGCCCAGAACTGGGTGGGACCTGCCCCAGAATTAAGACAGTTCCTGGCCAGCCCTGGACTGTGTGGGGAATCAGATAGCTCCTGAGTCCTGGCACTGCTTAAAGGGCTCTCAGCCAATGGGAAAAGCTTCTTTTATCACTCCTTTTCTTACAGACAAAGGACGCATCTACACTTTCATTAAAGTTCCATAATTATGGTGCATTAAGTTTAGTACCTGTACTCACAGGTACTGTTGCCAGCCTTGCCCATTTTCAAGGGGCCTAGGCTAAGCTGCAGAAGTACTGCTAAGCAGCAGACCCAAAGTCTGTTTCTGAGTAACCACAGTGCGAACCTTCACAGATGTGACAACTAACTTGGTCAGCAAGTAAAGGAAATCATTCAACACAATTAAACAAAGCATAAGGACTAAAAGGAGATAAGAGAAGACCATACATTAACTAATCCATACACAATATATCATAGCTTAATCTTAAAGTGGTAGTAGTAGTGACTGATGTAACCAAATGTATAAGATGTTATTTTGTTATAATAGCTATATTTTTGTTAAAATGCTTTTGTTTTGTTAAAACAAAAACAGCCTGTCAGAGAAGACCATAAAGTAAGGTAAAGAAGAAACAGAAACATCATTTCACAATGGGAAAGAAAAAGAGATAAGAAATCCTCCCTCTTTCCCAAGGATATAAATCTGAACTAATTGTCACCTTCCAAATCCACAAGAGATCTGGTTCAGTCCACTTCCAAAAGTTTCAGTAAAACAAAGAAATTTAAATAAAAACAATCACAGGTCATTTATTAAAATATAAAAACTAGCCATGTATAAATATTGGCATAGGCTGGAGGGAAATTTGGAGAACTCAGCAAATTCAAGAAGACCTGCTGCCAATCTGTGTGCCACTCTCCTCCCACCTCTTGAGTCTCTCCAGCTGGAATAGTTGAGAACCTATGTCGTACTGTTTTGGGTAGCCAGATAGACTTTAGAATAAAGGTTTGTTCTCATGTTTTAAGGTGCAAGCAAATAAAAGGTTTGGCTGTAGACCTGTTTCTGCCTCTTTTATCAGTAGCCTACCAAAAAGGTTATCTGTAATCTAGGTAAAAGTACAAAGCAGCAACCCATGTGCTGTTCCTATATTAGGTGGACCACATGGGGCTAAATTCTGTTTCACTTCTATGTCTCTAAGGGCCCCTCTACATGTGCAGGTACAGACATGAAGGGATATGATGCACAATCCAGACAATTGGCTTCCTGCCATGCTACATGTATGACAGGAGGTGCGATGGTAGGATCAAGCTTCAGATCCCATTATGTCTTACCCCCACACCAGCAAGAAGCAGGCTCCTGGGGCTGGGAGTAGCTGGGACACTGGGTCAGTTGTGGTCTTGGAGCCAGAGGGGTGCCTGGAGCATCCCAATGGCTGGGACATTGTGTCAATTGGGAGCTCCCAGGCCCAGGGGTGTACATAGCACCCCCCCAGCTGGGAGCTCCAATTAGCTGACAGGGCTCCCAGCCACAGGGCCCCTGGGCACGCATTCAATTAATAGTGTGATAAGAAGCAGCTACAATGTTATTATACATATTTTATGGAATAACTTTGTAGCTTATTTCCCTTTTTATCATACCATGAATTGATTGCATGTGTGGCTGGGTGACCACTTAGGACGTGATTAACTAGTTATGCCTTAAGTGTAACATGCAGATGGGGCCTAAGTGGCACTTACATTGGAACATAATTGCAGTTTTTGGCACTCGCACACAGCTTGGATTCTATTTCTACTCTTGTCCTCCCACTTCTGGCTGCCTTGTGAGCCAGCTTCAAGAGGAGGGCTGGAACATACTCCTGGGAGGGGGCGGGGTCTAGATTGAACCTGAATTTCCCCCTGCCCAGGCAAATGCTTTAATACCTAGGCTACTGGTTTACAAGAAAGGAGTGCCCTTCTTTTTGTCCATCATTCACTAATTGTGGTTTTCTGAAATTAAAGTTCTAGGTCTTAGCTGGCCTTGTGACCATAGCTGGGTGATTGTATTCTACCTCAGAGCCCTGTATGGCTAGAATTCAGGCTTTGCAGGGAAGGCAAGCCGAGGGCAAATATACCTATGAATGCACAAACAAAATCCAAATTACTAAAAATTATATTTATGTGGCTACATAAGTGCTACTTAGGCATACAGAGATGAAGTAGGAGCTAACCTTCAGTCTTTTACTCTCAATTGTATAGAGTCCATGTACAGTGCATCCAGAAACTATTGAGCCGTGCATTCAGTTGGGCATAATTAATGTGTCTGTGGAGAGGAGAACTGTGCATTATGCTAAATGCACCATGTACATCCAAGAGGCACCAAGCTGAGCATGCCAGGCACACTCCATCCCAAAACTCTGAGAACTCAATAGTCTTGAACATCCCTAGAGGTCCTGAATAGCAATAAACACTGTGCAGTGCAAACTGCACCTAGTGCACTCATGCAGCACTGGCCTCAAATCTTCTCCTTTTTCAAAAGTGTTTTTTTTATTAATGCACAGCAACCTGAACACTTGAAGAGGAGTAAAACTGGTGGATAGTAATGATAGCAGAGATTTTGAAATCTGCTTATCAGAGCAATCACTAATATAAATATATGTGCTGGGACTTCTCAAAGGGAAAAGAAACACTTACCTAGTAAAAAATGCTGCAAACTTTAGGTCATCTAAGTCTCCTTGAATGATGACATCATCATATCCTTCCCCATGGCCTGCAAATAGGAATGATGTCAAAGTAATGAAGGCTGCAATTCATTGAACATTACATAAACAAGCATATAACAACTGCTCTGCTCCAACTGATGAAAAATAATGGTATAATTTATTTGTCTTTCCAAAAACGGTGCAATTTTTTTTACTCTGTAATCTATGTAAACAAGATGATGTATTATACAATGAAAAAGAAGTACAATCTGAACTGGCATTTCTAATTTTGCTCAGTACAGATCTGTGGCTTTCCCATCTCTATTTTTTATCTGCATTGTTTTGGCTTAGTCAAAGAGACAAAAATTTAAAAAACCTCACAAAAAACCTCAAAAACAAGGGGAGAATCACTGCATCAAAAGAATTAAATAATAATTACCGTATTTAGTAGAATAGAAGACAAAGTTCTATTTCCGCCTCTCCACCCCCCATTCAGCATGGGGAAAAAGGCTTGTCCTCTTATATTCACATACGTAGCAGAAAGGGGAGCAGGCAACTGTGGCAGCTCTGAGACTGTCCCTGAGCCCACATCAGGGCCAGAGTCAGACATCCACAAGCCTCCTGCTTCCCTCCCATCCAATTCTCCTCTACAGCTTCTGACCCCTTGCCTATCCTCTTTTCTCCACCTTACTGTCAGGTGGAACTTGGCTATGACTCAGTCTGGGGTGTCTCCTGGGTGTGGAGCACATCCTTCCCACGGCTACATGGCCAGGCAATGGCTGAGTTTCCATGTGCTGTGCTCCAGGACAGAGCAGCCCAAGCAGCATCTGACAGTAAAGGGCTGGAGGGGGAGGAGAAGAGGCAAAAACTGGGGAGTGGGATGGGGGGGTAGGGAAGGGGGACAGGGACAGGCAGAGACTGGGAGGAATGGAGAAAGAGGTAGAGGCTGTGGGGAGCTGGGGGTAGGGACGTGCAGGTGGCAGGGGGACAGGAAGGCTGCAGGGGGAAGAAGTGGATGGGGAAGATGGGGATAGGAGCCACTGCTGTCCCACCCCACCCAGCCACTGCTTTCCCTGCTGTAGCAGTGTGGGGGATCCAAGACAACCCTCCAATACTTATATTCTATACCTGAAAAATTATGAGAAATTTCTAAATTTTCCATATATAAAATCTAATTATTGGGGGGTTGTCTTCTATTCAGAGTTGTCTTCTATTCAAGTATATACTGTATTTGAGAGGGGAGAGTGTTCAGCATGCAATATCCTTGTCTCTGCTTGACCTGATTTGCTGTGGGGTTGTCAGTCTTCCAGGATGGATTTATGGTTCTATAAAAAGTATGTCACCTCTCCACATTTGATGCAGGATTGCCCTTCCCTACATGTTTGGACTAGCTATTACTCATTTCCCACAGGCAGATTACAGGTTCACTTCTCCTTCCAGTGCAAAATCAGGTGTCATTCATTCCCCCCTTACATAGTTTCAAACAGGGAGGACTAAGTCTCTCCTACTGTGTCTATTTCAGACATTGCCCCCTGCTCCACTCCTCAATTGGGTTCAACTCTGTCCCTCTCACCACTGGCACTTTTGGAGTTTGTTCCTCACTGGGCACATCTACATGCGCATTAATGTGCCTTTTCTAATGCACATTAAATTTAGTACCTCCAATGTGAAGTTTTAAGTTAATGTGCATTAGGCTGTGCGCAGTAGCACATTTGTATGCTTTTTTAGGGAAGCTTAATGTGCACTAGACTCTTTTGCTGTATATTAGCATAATGTCATGGTTTTTTACCTGATGCTTTAATGTGCAGTAAAACAGTCTACTGCTTTTGCACAGCCCTACTGTCTAGTTCAAACTGCTTCCTTACTCTTTAGGCATATATTATTCTTTTCTTACCTGCATACCGTATGCTGTTTCCAAACATGGCAGTCCACAGATAAGGGATTGTGCTGATCTCTGTGCCATGAGCCAACATATTCAGAGCTGCTATGCGACCTGGAAAACAGGAGGGAAGAAAGTGAGGAGATCTTTCCATCCATGGTGTTTGGGTGGATCATTAGCACTGAGAATCTTAGGGCCTTTTGATAATGACTCTTCTAGTCACAGTGGACACCAACACCATCACCTGGGGGGGCGGGGGGGGAGAGGCAACAAGACCCACAGACAGGGGAGGACAGCTGAAATTTTATGGGACATTAGAAATTACACAATGGAAATAACACAACATGAAAAAGAAAGAAGCCAAACTCAACAGTGACATATTTTCTAAGTCTATGCAAGAAACACAACATTATTCCCCAAGGACTAAACATCTACAGTACTCTGACTACTACACACAATTCCAAATATGCTTCACAATTATGCAGGAGATCTTCAGAGAAACTTAGAAAATATCTTCTTCACCTAACCTACTCCAGAAGAGATCAACTCAAAAAGGACATCACCGCATGCTACAACAGCTTAACCTTCATATATTCCCATGGGATAATTTCCTACCCCAGACACATATTTTGTGCAGTATCTTAAAGTTAATTAATTCTAAAAAAAATTCTTTTTTAGGACATTGTTACTGGCACTGCAATGCACAATATCCCCAAAGAAGAGCCAACTTACGTGAATGGCTTGCTCTCTGTGGATGAAAAAATGCCCAGGGTAACATGTTACTCCAGACATTAATATGTTTTTCCATATGAGGTAACAACTTACCTCAAAACCCATGTAAATTTATGCATAAATGACAGGCCTAGACCTGTTTGGCCACTTTGGGTGGATGCATCTGAAAGGTCAGCATTCATTCACATCTCATTTATGTCCACTTCAGGTATTTATGGTAACTAATGGATGACCATCCTCCACTCTGCTTTTGCAGAAGATGCGGTAATCCCTTTTGCTAACCACTTTGTTTGCAGGCTGCAAGATCATCAAAACACCCTGTCCTTTGCCAAAAAACAAAAACAAACCCCCCCCCAACAACAAAAAAAACCCAAACAACCCCAAAACAAACCCTTTGTCAAACCCAAATCCACCTCTGCTTTCTTTTCTCATGGCAAAACTCCATCTCGCCTGCCCCTTTCATAACACACAAGCTAGTTTGCCCTGCCTTTGCTGGAAGTGAAGAAAAGGAGCAAAGGGACAGCAGAGAAGAAACAGAACAACATCATACTGCAATACAATGTACACTATGGAGTCCCCTTCAATGGTAAGGGCTTGGCAACACCCATGTCCCTTTTACCTGCTCTCAATAAGCTCCTGCATGTTTGGTTTCCAAACAGCATCCACCCATATTTGGCTTGCCTGCAAAGGGTGGATGCTGGTCTCTGGCTTCTGTGCCCAGGAGGAGAGGATGCTACATGCACTGCCATAGAGCAGGGCAGAATTGCTTCTGTGACAGCACAGGTGGACAGGCTTGTCTTTGATTGTTATTTATATATATTCAGCAGTAATCTTTTTTTTCTGCAGTCAAGGATGAGAAGGCAGTGCATACGCAGTGCTGAAGCCTGTCTTGCACAGGTAACTGGGGATGACAGCGACACATCCACTGATAAAATCTTATCCCAAGGCAGTGAGGATGCTGACTTTGTTCCAGACATGGCAGACTGTTCAGAGCAAAAAAAACATGTGTCTATGGAAGCTTCATCCAGCTCAGATGAGAAGGAGCTTGTGCCCCAAGCAGAAGTGATGCCAACACTTCCAGTGGGAAAGGGAAGAGAACCAGTCTGGGGCTGCTGCAGAAGACCGAGGAGAGCTACAGCAGGACATGGAGCAAAACCACTGCCACCACCCCCAGAAAACATTGCAGATAATGACGCCTTTAAAGGAAGGAATGGCAGAGTGTGGGAAAAAAGTCCACAGCTAATACATCATTGGAGAACATCCAAGGGCATAGTCCATGAAAGTGCTGGGCCAACAAAAGAAAGTAATAAAGGCACAGTAGTGGAAGTGTTCCACCTGTTTCTCTCATGAGATATCCTGACTGTTATCATAAGAGAAACAATCAGAGGCAGAAAGAAGATTCAGGGAGTGGAATGATAGCCATCCTGAAAATAGAAAGGAGTGGAAAAAGCTGAATGAAACAGAGCTGAAAACCTACACTGGCCTCCTATTGCTGAGTGGTCTATACCACGGTGGTCACGAGGCACTGGAGGAATTTTGGGCCTGAGACAGCAGCTGACAGGTGCCTGATTAGGGCAGCCATTTTAGATTTCAGGGCTGCCCATATAAACAGGGCATTTTGCTGCTGGGAGGCCAGGCAACAACATTGCCTGGCTGCAGGTATCATCTGGAGGTAAGGGAGGAGCTGTAGGGGATGGTCAGGAGGCTCCTGGTCCTGGGCATGACCTAAAACTGCACCCTGCCAGGAGTGGGTGGCCTGGTGGGGCTCCCAGTGGCGCAGGAGCCTGCAGGAAATGCCAGGCCAGTTATCACCCCAGTGAAAGGCGGGTCGGGGCGCCTTAACCCCTAGCCCCCACAACTGGGTGGGTTACCCCTTTTTTAGGGTCTGGAGGGTGGACCCTCAGAGAAAGAGAGTGAGGCCATAGACTCACGCCTGTCTGGACTTCCCTTGACTGGTCAATGCTGGGGCCAGGACTGGAAGGATTCAAGGGCCAGGGGCCTACTGCGAGGAATGCCCAAGAGCTGAGGGCCTGGGGTTCTGGCTGGCCTGGAGGTGGGCCAGGGCTAGTGAGTCAAAGGTCCTGGGGGGATCACACCCAGAAGGGGAAGCAGTTCAGGGAGCTATGCTGCCCAGGATGAAGGCGGGTTAGGCTGCCGGAATGGAGGGATCATAGAGGGGTTCAACACTAGGTTTATGGGGACCAGCATGGGGCCGGTGATTGTGAGAACATCTGGATGCCATCTGCAAGGCTTGGGCTGTGGTGTAGGGGAGGAACGGAGCCGCAGATAGCACCCCCTGGCATCGGGGAAAAAAATGGGCAGCCTCCTGCTTAATTGACATTAATTAATTAATTACCAACAAGGCGTGGCGTGCGAGAAGGCGGGCAGTTAGCCCAGAAACAGGTGGGTGGGCCACAGTGAGATCGGCCCCGAGAAGGCCCCCTGTTACAGGGAGCAATGTACCAGCTGTCCTTGCTTCTGTGCCCACCATGAGTTTAAAATGATTCCATCAAATCACCAACTACCTGAGATTTGACAACAAACTGACAGGTGAGGAAAGGAGAGCTGTGGACAAGCTTGTTGCCTTCAAAGATATTTGGACACAATTTGTGGAGCAGCTCAGGAAATGGTATATTCCAGGAATACACCTGATGGTTGATGAACAGCTCATTGTGTTCAGGGGTCGCTGTCCCTTCAGACAGTATATGCCCAACAAGTCTACCAAATATGGCTTGAAAATTTGGTGGTGCTGTGATGCAGCACCATCATTCACCCTCTCTGGAGACATCTACCTGGACAAGCAACCAGAATTGCTCCATGCCAAGGTAATCTTGGTACCCAGGTCGTTGAAAAACTGGTTCATCCCTGGTACAAGATGGGAAGGAATACTGTGGGTGACAATTTCTTCACAAGTACTGACCTGGTAGAAAGACTGCTACAACAGGACTTGACCTATGTGGGTATGATTTGGAAAAACAAGGCCGATATCCCAAACGAAATGCAAACAAATCGAAGAAGGGAAACCTTTTCATCCATTTTTGCTTTTGATGGGGAACTCACCCTAGTTTCCTATGTTCCAAAGAAGTCCAAAGTGGTGCATGCTTGACAGCAATAGCACAATGACCTGTCAGTGGGTTTAGAGCAAAGAAAGCTGAACATTCATGACTACAATAAAAACAAGGGTGGGGTGGATAACCGTATGAAAACCTGCAGATGGAAAATCAACAGGTGGCCAATTACACTATTTTTCAATATACTGGATGTGGCTACCACTGCCAGCCTCATCATTTGGCTAGGCCACAACACAAACTGGAAGCAAAGATTACATTTAAGAAGATGGCATTTTTTTTGCAGGAGCTTGGACAACAGTTGATTGACGGACAAATAAAATGAAGAATGATGAATACACGTAATCTGTCTAAGTCTGTCAAGTCTGGTATGACTGCCCTAAATTACAAATCGCCACAACGTACCTCAGTAAAACCTTCTGCAAGCATGAGTGGATGTTGTGCTTTTTGTCCAAGGACAGATGACTGCAAAACCCAGAAACGATGCGAAAATTGTAAGTGATTTGCTTATGTGCACCACAGTACATTACTGCTGCTTTGCAAGGAATGCAATATTTAGTTAAAACAGGAAATGTTTTTGGAAGTAATTGTTAGTTTGAAAACAGTGTGAACTGCAGACTTAGCAAATTGTTCATTCACGTTTTGAAACTCTAAAAAAAGGTTAAAATTTTGTTCATAGTTCTAGTTAAATAATATTTTGGGTTCAAATCATCATAAATACACTTTCAAACAATCTGTATGTTTAATAAATAGTTTTTGGTACATTTATACTGTTGTCACTGGTTCCATTTTGTTCATGCAGGTGGGGTAGCCAGTTACCCCATGAGACCAACAATGTCGAATTGCGGGGTAACAAGTTACCCCATGAGAACAAGAACGGTTACGGTTTCAAGAGAACGGATGAGGGTTAAAAGAGAGAAATCCAGACAACTTCTCAAACATTATACAATATATACAAAGAGACTACTGAAAATTTTCTACAACATCCACATAAAAAGAAGAAATGGAACAAATTACTCCAGAAATAACTTTTCTAACCACAAAACAACCATCAGAGAAACAACACCAACACTTTACAACATTCCAACCTCAACTCAGTCAAACCAAAAGAAGCAACCATCACTCAAATATCATCACTTCTCCATGCACATACTTACCAAAGATGAAAAATCTGTCGTATCTAAAAGCCTGAATGTCTGTCCAGAAAAAACCCTAATAAAATACTACAATGCAGAGGACTAGACCAATTCTTCCAATGTCTCCTCCTCAAGTAATATTTCCACAACCAAAATGAATCCAGTTCCAACAACACTT